TTGTTTGTCTATGAGTTGACAAATAAGCGATCTGCTCATGAATTGCGGCTTTGAAAAGCTCCAGTGTCCCGGTATCTGTGTTTGCACTCAGTAAACAGCGGTGAGTCTGAAAGTTAAAACCTTTGGCTCAGTCACTTAGACGGTGCACTTTTTATAACGTTCAACAGGATAAATATGTAATTAGATTATAACCCATTTGGTTGGGAGTGCAGTAGCCGGTATTTAAATGTTTCTGTCATTTCGTGTCAGGTTGTGTGGTGTCAGCCAAATTGGTAGTAAAGGTCATCAGTTCACTGCTGTTTACTGAATGTAAACACAGATACAGGGACACTGGAGTGTTTTAAAGTCACGTCGATCAGCTTGTTTGTCTATGAGCTGACAAATAAGCCATCTGCTGATGAATCGCAGCTTTGAAACGCTCCAGTGTCCCTGTATCTGTGGTTACACTCAGTAAACAGCGGTGAGTTTGGTGAACAGATGACCTTCACGGCCAATCACAGTCATTTCTGTTGAGCATGTGACACAATGGAATATCAGCGCTGTTTAAGAACGCGTTCAACAGCGCCCAAAGGTTTGCAGGAAATGGATGTTTTTAAAATTTTTCGAATTCCAGTATCGTGACAACACTAGTGCAAACCTGCGACATCAGTCACTCAGACTATAAACTTTCAATACAGTTAAATCAGTTATTGGTTAAGTATGTATTAATAAGGATATATCCCATTCGGTTGGGAGTGCAGTCTCTGATATTTAAATGTTTCTGTCATGTCGTGTCGCGTTTTAGCGCAGACTGCCAAATTACTTGTCGTTGGAATCTTGTTGTGTTGCATGTAGTTAGGGCACAAGTTAGACACAGACTTTCCCTTCCCTTGTTCCCTCAAGGGAATCTCTGCCGCCACTTTGGAGTGTGTTCCACTTTATCAAGCAAACAATGGAAGTTTACACGGACTTACCCTCGATTTTAACCAAGGGAGCGAGTCGGCGTTATATGTCCACTCCAGCACCTATATGTCCCAGAATGCAATGCAATTGTAACGTCACAACAATGTAGTTCCCAAATGCTTAAGGGGTTTAGGGTGGCCAATCCTGTTCCTGGAGATCCACCTTCCTGCAGAGTTCAGCCTCAACCTTGATCAAGCACACCTGTCTTTAATTACCAAGTGCTCCTTCAGGTCCTACTTAGTTGGCTTAGTTGTTTTTGGAGTTGGAGCTGAACTCTGCAGGAAAGTAGATCTCCAGGAACAGGATTGGGCACCACTGCCCTAAACCCCTTGAGCACTCGGGAATTATTAACACTTGGGAACCCTTGAGCACTCGGGAACTACCTAACAGGATTGGGCACCCCTGGTTAAGGGCATTTGATTGAACCCCATTCAGATGCTCCGTCAGTAGTGGACACTTTTGTGGCGTGATCATACATCTGAGAGTTTGAGATGGAGGGAAGTTAGCAAGAGAAGGGCAAAAAAAATTGGACTGGAATGCAAGCACGGGCATTAAAGAGAACACCCAGAATTTGACGTCATCCATCCGTGGAACTTTTACTAAACCAGGTTCTGATGTGATATCTCCAGGTAAACATAAACCAACTGAATCAACTAATTTGCTATAATAATTAAACCAGAAAAAAAAAACTATTTTGCTGATTGCCTCCACAGATTTTGTGCTCCTACTGGTTGTTGGTTTCAAGTTCGTCGCAGTTGAATCACACTGCAGGAAACCTTCTGAAACTGCCAGAACTTCATCAGAGGGAAAATCTGATCTCAACGGCCATTAAAGCGGCAGTCAGTGAACATGTCAAACCAAGACCACAGATTTTAGCCTAGGATTACAGGAAACTTTTCCCAAGTTTGTCTCTGACAACATAATCATGTCTGAAATTGCACAGTGTGAGCAGGGCTTTAGACGACTCTTTCCGAAATTGAAATGGACTAACAAACATAAGGCACTTCATGACCACACACACACACACACACACACACACACACACACACACACACACACACACACACACACACACACATTAAAAAAAACTTTCAACCCTCCTGAAAAGTTCTGTAACTGCCAACACACAGCCTCAGTTTGACAAGGCCATCCGTCGCTATGTTTTTGTTTTGTGGAGTCTCAGATCTCCAACCTCACAGGTCAGAGGACGCCATTCGCTCTTGCCTAAAATGTCCAAGTGCTTCGAGCCAAGTGCTTGAGCTAGCCGGAGACGAGCTAACCTGTAAACAGTGATGTGAAATGTGTGGTTCTCCTCATTTGGCCTCAGCCTGCTCCAGAAGCGGATTGGCCTCTTTCTCGGGGGTCTTGATGCTGTCCGTCCTCACGATGCAGGTGGGCCGGTGGCGATTGAGCATCAGTATGAGCTGCTGCCGCTCGTGCTTCAGCTCCTCGATCTGTGCTTTCAGCTCCGAGTTCATCATCTCCAGACGCTCAGACTCCTTCAGCGGGAGAGTTGAGGATGCATTAGTACCAGTGTACGGTGTAATTAGGTGCAAAGCAACTACTTACTGTAATTCAATTAATTTTCACTGATAAAGTAAAGGAGTACTTTGGCTGTGTCCGAAATCGCCTACTACTCAAGTGGGTATGAGGGGTGCAACAGTTGAATCTACTCACAGTTCGGTATGTATCATGGTTTTAGGGTCACGATTTTGGTACGGTTTGAGAGAGAGCGTTCGGGTCTTCTCTCTTAATTCAGCAGGAACAGTCAGTCGAGAAGACAACGGTTCTTAGCAGACAGCGGGTAAACAGAGTGTATAGCAGGAGTGATCGGGGGCGGAAGTAACAGTATACCTTAGAGGTGTCAAAATAATTGTTTTTTCGGTGCACCGCGATGGAGTAGGTCATCCGGGTACTTCTCACATACTGTTTTTCGAATTTGATGAATTCAGACATACTACTCAGCTCACAAGCTGTTTTAAGCCTACTATATGGTATGCGATTTCGGATGCAGCTTAGGTCATTTAACCACAGTTATAACGGATAACGGCATTCTAACAAGCAGTGACATTACATACTTTTTATCAGGAAAATAATAACAGTAACTCATAGAACACTGATAAATAACATGTTGTTGTGGTCGTTTATTAAATAAGTATCAAGAGTTCACATTTAGCTCATAATTTATACATAGCTTGTTTGGCATGCTGTCCCGGGAGCCCTGAGCTCAAGGGATCATCGTGCCCAGGGCTCCCTCCCTTTCGCAGGGCGAGGGGAGACTGAGCTCAGGTCGATCTCAAAACTCCCCCGCTGCTGAGGCTAAGGTGAACTTCCTGAGAGTAGGACATTTAGAAAAAAGATTTAGGCTAATTTTGATTGGAGGATCGTGATTAGCTGGGTCAAGGCAACATTCGAAGTGAATCAAAAATGTATTTTCAAAATAGTCCTAGGACAATAATGGGTGTTGTTCAATAGTTTCAGGACAACTTTGATAAAGGGTGAGGATCCACTTCTCAAATGTTGACTACTCTACATGTTGACTTACTACAAAGACTTTTACCTGGACTTACCTTCTGTAGATACTCGGTCCGCTCTTTCTTTTTGTTTCGACATCTTGCTGCCGCCACTTTGTTTTTCTCTCGTCTTCTTTTCCTCCGCTCTTCTTCTTCATCCTTCTGCATGAAGACAACAACAAAAACAAAATGTCTCACCCTCAGGTGGTTCAAAAACTATAAATCAGTAATCAGGAAAAAACAAATACTATGGAAGTCAATGGTTACAGGATTCCAACATTTTTCAAAAGATCTTATTTAGTGTTCAACATAAAAAAAAGAAATGAAAACAGGTTTGTGACAAGTGAAGGATGAGCAAATGATGACAGAATTTTCATTATTGGGAGAACCAGGGTTCCCACTCTTTCATGGACACCAAATTCTAGGACTTTCAGAGACTTTATAAATCACTAATCGCTTTAAATCGAGCACCTTTGTAATTCACACCCCGGGATATATAGTGTCATGAAAGTCCTTCCTGCACTTAACATTTCACATATACGTACAGTTTTTTACAAAATATTTACATTAAAATATCATAAAATGTCAATGATTATGTTTTGAATGTGAAGTTTTCTGAATCAGTCAAGTTCAAGAAACTTTAATACAATTATTTAAATTAAATACTGGTAATATTCAAATGCGGTTTATGAAATATTGATTAAATGCATTATTTGTCAGTTCTTGCATTAGAATTAAAGAGCATTTTACCCCTTTTACAAGATGTACCACAAGCCTTTGGTGTCTCCAGAATGCATCTGTAAAATTTCAGTTTAAAATACCCATCAGATAATTTACTATAGCCTCCAGAATCTGCCCATTTGGCTGTCTGAGTATGGTGTAGCTGTTTTTGTAGCCTGTGGCTTTAAATGCAAATGAGCTGCTTCTCCCCACCCACTGCTCCGATTGTGTGTCTGCTTCTCATCATGTAATACATCAGATAAACAGCAGTCAGTGATAAAGAGTAACACTGATGAATCTGAAATTCAGCTCATCACCCAAAAACACCAAGTAAGTTTATTTGATGTTTGTGTTTATTCAAGCCTGTCTGACATGATGAGTCACATATAAAAGCACGCACACACACACACACACACATACATGCATACAGATTTATACATGAGAGTTCCGATGCAAAAACCTCTAAATGCCGTCTGGAATTTTCTTCTAAAATGAGTTTTTTATCAGGCTCTAGTGTTTAGGTTCAGTAATTTCAATGTTATGGCAAAGAATAAGTTCTTTTCATGGTTTTCAAAGTGAAATAACTCAACATAAACAAAGAAGGCTGAAAACAAATGCTCATTTTCGATGGAAATTTTAGACGGCATTTAAAGGTTTTTGCATCTGAACTCTTCATATACACGTTTACTGACACCATGTGCCCGCGGTGATTATAGCGGTTAAGAATTACAGCAATTTTGTTTAGTCTTTATTACAAACATGTTCGGTTTTAAAATCATTTTAAACTCGTATTTAATCAAGTAAAAAAAAAAAAATCACAGAGAGTTGTAGCAAATATTTGAATCCCAGTTTATTTGCAGAAAAGGTTCTGTGGACGTGTGTATAGATGTTATTATAGAAACATGGCGTCTGTCAATCAAATGGTAGGCGGGGAAAACCACACTCCTACATCACGTTGCAGTGGGCCTCAAAACCACTGGGATTTGGGTCCTATTTTAACGTCAGGAATTTTTTTAAAAAAGGAGACTTATTGCTTTTATAAAATGAAAGCGACTTTGAAAAAATCCCAATATTATACAGGATTTTTCCACATGAAAGCCATTAAACATTTCTGAAGATTGTTTGCGACATGGAGGAAAGTATAGTTATATTTATCTGCAAATAACCCTCACTGCTGGTCTTTCAGCTCTCTCTCTCTCTTTCTGCGGATTATGTCAAAAGAAACCCTGGACTGATGGTGATTACAAAATGTTTGTGTAACCTATTTGAGTCTTTGTCAGGATTGACTTATAATAACTAGAGCTGTGGGATACAATGAAGAGTAATTCACTAAATATCATTCAGTCAGGCTACATTAGCATTAGCTGTTTTCTCACCTCTAAACAGAGCTATTCATAGCCTTTCATTAGCAAGATTAATTTACACTAAGATTTACAAGAGTCACTACTGATACACTACTATTATCACTAACATTCAACTTAAAGAAACCAAGTGAATGTAATGTAAAAAAAACATGAATGTTTATAAATCTGTCATTTTAGCGCAATTAGCAGAGAGCTAAGGGCCATTGTTAGCAAGTTGTTTATGTGTTAGATTCGCTCTAAAATGTTACCTTGATTTGTTTGTATTATTATTGTGTCTTTTTTAAGGTTTTCTGTATCTCCAGTACAGTATAAAGATCCAGCACTTTCTTTCTCAGAATCAGTCAGTGTCTGTCCAATAGATGGAGCCACTGCTGTGTGGTGATGAGAGTAAATGGCACTGTGCCAGATTCGCACACTGCAAGAAAACACCACAAGAGGGCGCCAGTAATACTAATAATATTTCACAATTAGCATTTTTTCAGTCAAATTTAAGCACTTTCCAGGATAATCTCTTTAACTTTACAAGCACTTTACAATATATGTATTAATAATGCATAATTAAATACGTCATCACTAGAGATGCAACCACTATAGATTTTGGTTGTGCGATTATAGTCTGAGGAATAATCACGGTTATCACGATTATTATGCATTCATTAATTTCAAAAACACTGCTAGTTTGGAACAATCCCATGAAAACTAAAATAACCAAATAATACGACACAAAACAATAATAATAATAATAATAATAAAAAACAATAGTCCATTTTTCTTTAGATTTAAAAATAATTTAAAAAAACTTTGGCATTTAAACATAAGTAAAAATTTTACACTGAAAATAAATGCAAATAAATTTAATTAATTAATTAAATAAACAATAATAATAATAATAATAATAATAATAATAATATGTATTAATTTTAAATAAACAAAATAAAATAAATTACAATAAATAAGTAAAATTGTAATAAATTAATATAAATCAATACATTTAAATAAATAAATAAATAAATAAAATGTAAATAGATAAAAATACATTAAAAAGTAAATAAATAAAATTAAAACTGCTTAATTAAAAATAAATGAAAATAAAATTTTAAATGAATGCTGGTAAAAATGTAAAATAAAGTAATACATTTAAAACATGAAAATGATTAAAAATAATAATAATAAAAATAAATAATTAAATGTAAAATAAAAAAATTAATAATTAATTTTAAATAAATAAAATAAAATAAATGACAATAAATAAATAAAATTTAAATAAATTTAAATAAAGTAAATGTAAATAAATTAAAAATAAATGAAAATAAATTAATAAAATGAAAATTTATTAAAAATAAATGAAAATACACAAATAAATACAATTTTAATAAATGAAATTAATTTAATTTAATGAAAAACAAATTAATTAATAAATTTCAAATATGAAAAACATTAAAAATAAATTTATCAAAATAAAATAAAAATAAATCAATAAATAAATGAATAAATAAATGAGTAGTATTTATCTAATGTAAATTTAAGTTACGTAATGGCTAAGTATTTCTATTTTACACTGAAGACATGTATTCAAAGGCTGCTGAACCTCTGTCTGAAAGGCACTTTTGATGAACTATATAACAAAATTGTTTTGTATTTTTCATTTAGTGTTTTTCTTTTGTATTTGTTTTTCTCATTGTTGGGCGCTCACGACATTCTTTCAACTAGTATGTGCGTCTGGAAAGCACGAGTCCGTCGCTCCATATATGCAAGCCATGCATCTCTATTGGAAATAACGAACTTGCGCGTGTGCAAAAGACGCGATATGTGACTGGCCCTTAGTTATTAGCCACAGCCATAGTTAATCCAGTGTACGTGGTGTACAAGCTCGGAACTTCAAACTAGCACTCAGTTGGCATCACTTTGATAAGTTGCAGCAGTTTTGTTCCATGCAGAAACACGGTGTTAAGAAGCCTTCACGATTAATTAACAGAGACGAATTAAAGCGCGGTTATTAGTGAAATCGGTTAATCGTTGCATCTCTAGTCATCACGTTATATCAGAAACTATAGAAGCTATATATTGCTGCAAATTGGCGTCACATTGGCACAGTGGGTAGCACCTCACAGCAAGAAGGTCACTGGTTCGAGCCTCAGCTGGGTCAGTTGGCGTTTCAATGTGGAGTTTGCATGTTCTCCCTGTGTTCACGTGGGTTTCCTCCGGGTGCTCCGGTTTCCCCCCACAAGTCCACAAAAATGTTATGGTGAATAGGGTAGGCTAAAATGTCTGTAGTGTATGTGTGTGAATGAGTGTGTATGGGTGTTTCCCAGTGACGGGTTGCAGCAGGAAGGGCATCCGCTGCTGGATAAGTTGGCGGTTCATTCCGCTGTGGCGACCCCAGATTAATAAAGGGACTAAGCCGAAAAGAAAATGAATGAATGACAGTTTGCTCACCTCCGCTTTGATCGGGAGTGTCCGCTTGCCCAGTTTTCCCAGTAGATGTAACGGGGACAGCATGGCCCCAATGTGGCAGAGGTCTGCATATTTCAGGTGTTCAGAGAGTGTGGTGGCAGAAATGCCCGCTAGAGGGCCCAAACTGGGCAGAGAGCCCGCCGTCACTGAGGGGTCCGGGATCTGACCGGGCATCATGTCACAAACACCCGCGACCACAGCTGAATAACAATAAAAGAAAAGAGCAGAGGATGCTTAATACAGCAGGCTGTCCAATGCAATGAAATCAGTCATCAGAAGCAAACTAATTCACAATATGACTAATTAATTAATAATAACGCTGCACAACATATCAAACAATTATAGTTATCTTGATTATGGTATAAGCAATATCCATATCACAAATAAGTTCAATAAGCAAAGTTCATTTTATGTGTGGCGTCATGGCGCAATGATCGCCTCTCAGCAAGAAGGTCGCTGGTTCGAGCCTCGGCTGGGTCAGTTAGCATTTCTATGTGTAGTTTGCATGTTCTCCCCTTGTTCATTTAGATTTCCTCCGGTTTCCCCCACAGTCTAAAGACATGCGTTGTAGGTGAATTGGGTTAGCTAAATTGGCCGTAGTGTATGAGTGTGTGTGGATGTTTCCCAGTGATGGGTTGCAGCTGGAAGGGCATCCGCTGCATCAAACATATGCTGGATAAGAGGTTCATTCTCCTGTAACAACCCCAGATTAATAAAGGGACTAAGCCGAAAAGAAAATGAATGATTGAATGAATTGTGTCGAGTATTTGTTTGTTACATGCATATGTTGTTTATTCAAATCTGATCAATCAGATGAGAACTTTACCATCTTTTACCATCTAAAATGACCTCCACTGAGGTTTTCCATCATTTGTGGTGTTTTAAAGTCTAAATGTTTGTGTGACATTGTTTTTGGATTTAATCAGCTCTGAAAAATGTCTCTGACATGTTTATTTTAGTATAAATAGTCTGAAATTGCTAATAAAATAGTGTTTGAGAGCTAGTTATATCATTATCGCAACATTCAACACCAATATTGCAAATTTTACCAGCATTGTGCGGTCCAAATGAATATTATAACACTTCATGTTTCTGAAAAACATTGCGCAACTCTTAATGTGCTTCACGCAGATGAGTGGGTTTGACAAACCACCCTCTTTTCCTCTCCATATGCACCAGACACCTTCTTATAAACATCACATACTTTGTGAAATAAAAAACATTGTGCAATTCTAAGTGTTCTGCACACACACAGGTAAATGGGCTTGACAAACCACATGTAGGACCTTTTTTTTTCTCCTAGATGCACAAACGTACATGCTTTGAATGTGGCGTGGTTATTGGTGCCAGACGGGCTGGTCTGAGTATTTCAGAAACTGCTGATCTACTGGGATTTTCACGCACAACCATCTCTAGGGTTTACAGAGAATGGTCTGAAAAAGAGGAAATATCCAGTGAGCGGCAGTTCTGTGGGCGCAAATGCCTTGTTGATGCCAGAAGTCAGAGGAGAATGGCCAGACTGGTTCCAGCTGATAGAAAGGCAACAGTAACTCAAATAAGCACTCGTTACAACCGAGCTCTGCAGAAGAGCATCTCTGAACACACAACACGTCCAACCTTGAGGCGGATGGGCTACAGCAGCAGAAGAGCACACCGGGTGCCGCTCCTGTCAGCTAAGAACAGGAAACTGAGGCTACAATTCACACAGGCTCACCAAAACTGGACAATAGAAGATTGGAGAAACGTTGCCTGCTCTGATGAGTCTCCATTTCTGCTGACACATTTGAATGGTCGGGTCAGAATTTGGCGTCAACAACATGAAAGCATGGATCCATCCTGAGTTTTATCAACGGTTTAGGCTTGTGGTGATGGTGTAATAGTGTGGGGGATATTGTCTTCATCTCAGACTGGATTCTTGAACATGACGATGAGTTCACTGTGCTCAAATGTCCTCCACAGTCACCAGATCTCAATCCAATAGAGCAGCTTTGGGATGTGATGGAACGGGAGATTGGCATCATGGATGTGCAGCCAGCAAATCTTCAGCAACTGTGTGATGCTATCATGTCAATAAGGAGCAAAATCTCTGAGGAATATTTCCAGTAACTTGTCAAATCTATGCCACAAAGGATTAAGGCAGTTCTGAAGGCAAAAGGGCGTCCAACACAGTTCAAGTAAGTGTACCTAATAAAGTGGCCAGTGAGTGTATGTTCAAAATATCAACTAGTCAGCTACAAAGCCCTGGTAGAGGGTTAATAAGAAGTGTAAATCTAGATATGCCAGTGTAGCCGGTTTCTGTTAGTTCATTTACGAGCTTTGCAGTCATTTGGTGTCTATACAAAAATGACACTATAATGAAAGTCAATGTGGTAAAAACAGCCACGAACATAATTAAAGGGTAGTAAATTTGAACAAACACACAAGGGTTAACTAATTAAGTATTAAATATCACTGTTCAGTAGTCAACATTTAAAGTGGGTCAAAACCTTTTGTCAAAGTTGTCTTAAAACTGTATAACAACACTAAATCTCTGTATAAATAAGTACAATTACTATCTGTTAAAGCTACAAATTTAATATTTTCTTCTTCCTACATATTTGAAACTCACTCGACATCTTAAAGTTACAGGCCTTAAAGAACTATATTTCACTTTATTAGGGTTAAACTTTGTTTTCTGGTTCACAATTTGTCGTCCCAACTCGACATAGTAGATGACTATAGCAATGTCGATGTTGAAACATCGCACAGCCATAAAATAAAGCAAATCACGAGGAAACTAAATCCTAAAGTAATGCCTTTAGTGTTCTAAATCAATGATTTAACAACTTTACCAAAATAAAAGTCCCACCCCAAACACAACCAACGCAGAAAATCCAACAGAACAGCATCATGTTTTGTCCCGATCCTCAATCTGTCACTAGAATCCATTATCAAACACACTGCAGCAAATGACACACATTCCTTCCAACACATGTGCGCTGTCAACTCTTTACATAAGACATCTCGGATCTCTCCCCTACATCTGACAAACGTATAGAAATGACCACTTACAGACCCTTGGCAAGAGAAGCTGCTCTCACAAAACTAGACCCAGACACATTCTCCTTAAAGCCGCTGAGAGAGGAACTGAGCGCCAGCCAAGATCCGCCCGCTGCCCGTGTTTCCTCCGTCCAAATCTGCGTACAGTTCTGCTGTCAGCCGAGAGGAATGCGGCCGCAGAGGAACAGGACAATGTCATCGGCCTACACCAGTCCTGCTCAAATGAAAACCTTTCAGATGCACCAAGCATTCTGTAGCTTGAGGGGGAAAAAAAAAACACGATTTCTTTTAGAAACCTTCCTCAAACCTGCTTAAATAGTTTGCTCCCTAACAAAAGACCAATGTGCTTCTTGAAGAAACAGCAAAAAAATCACTGCCATATGTGAACGTCTGCACAGCACTTCTGACTCACAGGAAGCACTTAATTAGTCATTGCTAAAGCAAGCTATCATTGCTCTTACTGAGAGTAAAACCGTGGTCAAACCAAAGTTTTAGCATGTCAAATTCTGTCGTACGCTGCTGTGAAAAGGGGTGAGATAAAACAAGACGATTAGACATCGATAATGTAAACGATTGCTCCATATCTTACATTACTGAACAGAGAGCTCAGGTTTTGATTAGGGCTGCAGGATACTGAAAAATATGCCATATTCTTGCTGAGGATTGTGATAACGATATTTCTTTCGACTTAACGTTTCCCTAGAATAATGCTATTTTTAGTAACCATTTTTAAATTATTTATTTATTTTATACTGATATTAAAGTCAACTGGTAAAAGATGGTTTTCAGACCTAATTAATTCTAGTTTAGACAAACAAAAAAACTGTCAAGGGGCAAACGTTTGGTCTTTAAAACATGAATGAGTGAAAACTCTCAGCAGATATTCGAACTGATGTGGTTGTTTTCCAACCATTAGTGTTTTTTTTTTCAGTTCTGGGTTCTCCTTTGGACTCCAGCCAATAGCAAAACAGCAACTACTTGCATTTACAAAATAAATTGCATACGTTCACAACAAAATAAACATTTACAAATTCCAATTCATAAATTTAAAATATGATTCGGAAAAACAAAAATCCAATTTATATATTTAAAACATGATTAAAAAATATGCTAATTTTATTCGGAAATTTAAAACACGATTCAAAAACACAAGAATCCAATTCGTCAATTCAAAACACGATTCAAAAATAGGCAAATTCATACATTCATTAATTTTCTTGTCGGCTTAGTCCCTTTAATCTGGGTTCGCCATAGCGGAATGAACCGCCATCTTATCCAGCAAGTTTTTACGCAGCCCTTCCAGCCACAACCCATCTCTGGGAAAAAATAGGCTAATTTAATTAGTAAATTCAAAACACGATTCAAAAACACACAATTCCAATTCGTAAATTCAAAACACGATTCAAAAACACACTAATCCAATTCGTAAATTTAAAACACGATTCAAAAACACACAATTACAATTCGGAAATTCAAAACACGATTCAAAAACACACAATTACAATTCGGAAATTCAAAACACGATTCAAAAACACACAATTACAATTCGGAAATTCAAAACACGATTCAAAAACACACAATTACAATTCGGAAATTCAAAACACGATTCAAAAACACACTAATCCAATTCGTAAATTCAAAACACGATTCAAAAACAACCTAATCCAATTCGAAAAATCAAAACATGATTCAAAAACACACTAATCCAATTCGAAAATTCAAAACACAATTCAAAAACACACAATTCCAATTCGGAAATTCAAAACACGATTCAAAAACACACTAATCCAATTCGTAAATTCAAAACACGATTCAAAAACACACAATTCCAATTCGTAAATTCAAAACACGATTCAAAAACACACTAATCCAATTCGTAAATTCAAAACACGATTCAAAAACACACAATTCCAATTCGTAAATTCAAAACACGATTCAAAAACACACTAATCCAATTCGTAAACTCAAAACACGATTCAAAAACACACAATTCCAATTCGTAAATTCAAAACACGATTCAAAAACACACTAATCCAATTCGTAAATTCAAAACACGATTCAAAAACACACAATTCCAATTCGTAAATTCAAAACACGATTCAAAAACACACTAATCCAATTCGTAAACTCAAAACACGATTCAAAAACACACAATTCCAAT